AGGAACAAATTTGACCCAACGCATATGAACTATAACCCCTTTCGAAGTTATTGCCCCTTTCGCAAGAAATGCTTGTTATCGCTACTCCTTCGAAACCGTAAACTGTACAAATATGGAACCTTCACTAAAGTCTTCGACTAATTGAGAGGACTCTGGAATCTATTCATTGCGAAAGTCTTCGGTGACTCCTTCAATGAGTTATTGCCCCTGATAGTCTTTGAATTTTAGAAATAATTAAATATTTTCAAAACAAGAAGGTGTAGAGACATAGGACCAACTGCATAAGATTCATTGACCTTTGATCATGAAATTAATGCAAAGGTCAAAGGTCAAGGTCATTCCAAAATTGAGAAATTAAGCTCTTTTCGTATTTTTTTTGTCTTTTAACATATACAAACTGTCTTAGCATCATTAATATGTACTCTTAAAACTATTTTAAAGATTTCATTCGTATTCCGTAAGATTGACCCTATTAAAAGTTATCGCCCTTTGTGCGAAAAACCTTGTTATCGCTACTACTTCGAAACCGTAAACCGTACAAATATGAAACCTTCACTAAAGTCTTCGACTAATTAAGAGGATTCTGGAATTTATTCATTGTGAAAGTATTTGGTGACTCCTTCAATGAGTTATTGCCCCTGAAAGTCTCTGAATTTTACAAATAATTAAAAATTTTCAAAATGAGAAGGTATAGAGACATGAGCCCAACTGCATAAGATTCATTGACCTTTGAGCTTAAAATTCATGTAAAGGTCAAAAGTCAAGGTCATTCCAAAACTTAGAAATTTCGCTCTTTTTATATCTCTTTTGTCTTTCAACATATGCTTAATGTCTATGCATCATTAATATGTACTCTTAAAACTGTGTCAAAGATTTCATTCTTTTCCCTTAAGATTGACCCTATTAAAAATTATTGCCTCTTGTGCGAAAAACATTTTTATTGCTATTGCTCAAAACCGTAAACCGCAAAGTCATGAAACCTTCTTTAATGTCTTATGGGACTTTAGGCAAAACTTTTATGTTCAAGTGCAAAAGGATCTGGTTACTCCTTGAATGAGTTACTGCCCTTAAATGCTTTTGTGCTTACTATAAAACCTTATAAATTTAAAACTATAAGCCATAGAGACATGGGGTTAATTACAATGTGACCCTTGACCTTTGACCTGAATATGACTTGAAGGACAAAGGTCAAGGTCACCTAAAAAAAAAATTATTTTCATTTTTTTTTCTTCTTTTAAGCCATTCCTTTTTTCTTTTTTATAAAATTTAATTTTAGATAGATAAATATTAAATGAAATTGAAATTCAAAAGGTGGAAAGACCTCTTATTGTTCTGTGAACAATAAGTCTCCTAGTTTTTTTTAAATCTTCTTCTTTGCTCCTGAGTATTAAATAAACAAACCAAGTACATAGTTATGTTGAGTAAGACTACCTCTTTCAAAATTGTGAATTTCATGGCCCTTGGGTTGGGGGTTCTGGTGTTAGGGCGGGGTTATATAGATTATATAGTGAAAATGCATATTAATTACATGTATATGATGGAAATGAATGAATTTTTTAAAACTCCTCCTTTCTGCACCTGGATATTTAAGCAATGAACTACGTACATAGTTATGAGGAGGAAGGATGCCTTTTTGAGAATTTTGAATTTCAGGGTCCTTGGGTTAGGGCTTCTTGTGTTATGGCGGGGATTTAATGTTTATATAGTGAAAATGCATGAATTCTTTGAAAATCTTTTCCTTTGTTGTTGGGTATAATGCCAATGATCTTAGTATTATATCAATGACAAAAAAATCTGCTTCTTCCAAAAATGGTTAATTTCCTGGCCCCTGGGACAGAGGTACTTGGGGGGGGGGATAACATAGTCTGAAATAATTTAATGCTGAGAAATCTGCACTTTGGTATTAATCAACAGCATGATGAAATAAAACTTTTTTAAAAATCCAACATCATGAAAGATGTGGCCCCAGGATCAATGGTTCCTGTGGGATAGGGAGATCAACTGTGGACCCGCCCTAACACAAGAAGCCCTGACCCAGGGCTAGAAGTGGAAATGCATTTTCTCTTTGTTACTCTGATCTACCTCTGGGTATTAAGTAACCAAAATAAGCATGCTGAGTGTATAATTATGATAAGCAATGGTGCCTCTTTCTAAATTGTGAATTTCATGGCCTCTGGTTTAAAACATGAATCAAATTCAATTGTTAGAAAGTTGTCGCAAGATACTCAGGTGACCTACATGTATAAGGCCCATGGGCCTCTTGTTTATTAACAAATTCTTTAGCCAGTACAAGTGAATGTGTTGATTTAAACATTGATGTAACCGATTGATTTATTAATCAAGCAACTGCAATACAATAGACTGACTGTTTCACACGTTATTTTAATCACTGAAGCGGGGAAATATTTGTAGTAATGAGGATCCATTTATCTTTAAGGAGGCTAGGGGGTGAAATAAATTAACCACCAGATATAATTTATTTTTTAGATATGATATTTTATGCTTTCAACTATCAATTAGCAAAGAAAAAAATCATAAATTTTAATTTTGAAATTTGATCATTTTAGTATATCTTAATATGGAGCTCTTCTTTTAAACCACCCAACCACTTTAAAACAAGCAACAAAGTCAATATATCCGCTACATTGCGAATCTCAACTCATTACCGCTACATATCGAATCGGCCAGCAATAAGCATACATGCCCCAAACCTTCTCTGATGTCGATATAAACAACGTGGTGTCGATATAGTCAATATTCTTATTATATTAAGTTGATCTGTATGCGATTTCGATATCGACGATATGGAGAATTTAATGTCGATATCGAACTGAACCATAACGTAAATTTTATTGGTAAACCTTGTGACGATATCGTAATTATGATGTCGATATCGATAAAAAGGAATTGACGAATGTTGGAATCATTTTGAAATATTACAACTGTATGACATTATCTAACAATAGGCCCATTTGCCACATCGCTCGTTGAGCACGTGGGCAAGTTAAAAACAGTATGGAAAATGTTACTTGTTGGGGGAGGGTCTTTTTGATTTTTCTATTACTTGAGAATGTCACTATATCAAAAAAAGAAAATTTTTCAAGATTTTTCCAACATATTACTTGATCTTCCTTTTGACTAAACAAAGAACAACGTTCACTTTTGCCTTATTTGGCCCTGTGAATTTCTGAAAAACTGAAACTACATAGGTTTTGTTAACAATGCATTGAGTATATCACTTAGATCTTTAGTGACTGCGTATCTATAAAAGATGATGTAATTTTCTGGCTAGTCAATGCATTATGACGTCACGAAATGCGTCAATGGTTTTCACCCATCAAATTTCCCGCGCATAGATGGCGCTCGTGTACTAGAGGTTATACTTTCGGAATACCTCGGACGACTTACTAAAAGAAGCGAAAGTAAATTGCATGAGTTCAGTCTAATCTTTATCCAATTTCTGTTGATATTTGATTCCAATGCCACAATATTGTTGTGTACCGAATTGTACAAACTTTGGAGGCCATAAATTTCCGGAAGACCCCAGTATAAGACAGAAATGGCGCGTGGCCGTAAGAAGAATGGACCCAAAGACAAAACGTTTATGGCAGCCTGGGAAGCACGACGTCGTGTGTTCCTCCCACTTTAAAGACACAGATTACAAGATCACACTATTAGGTTAGAACAGTCACATTTCCTTTTTCCAATTTTTATAAATATTAACTTATTGTCACTTATCAAACCTATTTAAATGATACATTTATATAGAAATCTTTATTAGCTCAATAGCTGTTGATCAGCTTTGAACAGTTTTGGCCAGCTAATTTTAACTCTTGTTTACATTAGTATAACCATAATTTGGTATAAATTAGAGGCCTAAGCGGTAATGATATTAATAAATGGGCTATAAAAAATTGATTATATTGTTATTTCGAACTCCAGGTTGTCTTATGTAAACAATGTTGTGCAAATGTATAATATTGCAGAAGTTTATTTGTTTGTTTATTTTTATGTTCTGTTGCTTTGACTTTGTTTGCTTTGTGGTTTGTATTTATTTTTCAGGACCTCATATTTACAGAATTTTGGTGACAATGGGCTGGTTCCAAAGTCAACAAAACAGAGCATATGAAAAGGATAGCTGGTTTTGTACCTAAGGCGTAGCTAGCCAGGATAAATTGAAATTTGCTCAGATTTTTTACTTTTTTTTCTTGAGTTAAGGGTTTGCTTTTGTGTTCAGTCAAGTGAAAATCGTATAAAATAAAAACTTCAATATTTTAATAAATACTTCTTGCTTTTTCATAAAAACTGACCCACGACACCTTCTATTGCAAAGCTGTCTTGAGATGTATTCAAATTGGTTGTCACTTGCAATGTCTTGCAGCAGCAATGTGCATAATACACTTGCAGGACTGCACAGCTGCAGGTCTAATAAAACAGTAACATGACATTTGTTGTATATGTACAGATAGTTGAATGTCATGGGTACAACTATTTGTTTTGTTCCTAGCAATTATATGCGTATTTTTTCTATAATTGTATGTTTTTCACCACCTATGCATGTCTGCCATGCGAAATCGGTGGGTTGCCATTCCCTTGATTCCGGTATTGAAAACTATTGAATATTTTTATAATCCGTTGTCTCTAGTGCCCCCATTACACAAAGAAATTATAAGTAGGTATCTCTTAAAACATGTCCATGTGTTGAAAGTATCGATCGAAATATTTCATATTGTTGTTTATAAAAGTTACATAGATGTTTACTTCGTATCATAGAATGCTCCTTCTTGGATTTTACAGTGGACCTGATAAATTAATACGCGCCCAGTTTTAGCAGTTTCGATTGAAGTAACGCCTGTTATTCCTTTAGCAGGTAAGGCAATAAAATACTTTTGGCTAAATAAGTATATTAATCCTACAGATGGAGTGTGATGTCAAATAATTTTAAACAATATTGCACGAAAATTAAGAACTATATTCGCTATGCGTTGTTTATTTCTGATGTCTGTCATGCGATATTCGGCTAAAGTGAAAGTAGGAGTTGGTAAGTGGAATTTTTGTGTTTATTGTGAAATATAAGCCTTATCTCAGATATCTTACAGAACTCCTAGTGTCAGTAATTACATTTTGAGATGACAAAGCCTGTGATCTGGTGCACATCAATTTTAAATAAGTTGAACATTATACGGAGGATCCGAAAATTTCCACGTGGTTCTTGCAGACCACGATTAGGTCAGCTGTAGGTAGCGGGGAACTAATAAATTTGTTACTTTGTTTCAAATACCAAGTGTTCGTCATTTTTAAAAATACTTTGAAGTTAAAAACAGGTTTTCAAATATTATGAGTAGAGTAAATTTGGTTTCATTAATGAGCGATTAATAGTTGTGTAAGAACGGATCATCCTTCGTTGAGCCTCAGTCACTCAAAGTTAAATGTCCAATGACGGCTACGTGAAACAGCTCTACGTATTAAACAAATATATAAAATCAGTTGTGTTATTTGTAAATCAAAATTTTGATATTCAATTTTTTTTTTGTTTTGTTTTATTTTTTGTGAAAGGAGGTGCACATGGTGCAAGTATTATAATTCTTTATATAATGATATTCACACAAGATTGTACTACAGTGGAGTCGCCAATTCCGGGTCGTCTCCAATTCCGGGTCACTCGCGTGTATTTTATGTCTAGTGTTAAAATTTAAGCGCAAAAAACTTAATGAATACGCTGGTCATGAAGAACTGGTCTTTCTGTTTGTTATTAATTACAAAATTTTGAATATCAGCTTTAAGAGAGCATCCGACAATCGAAATTCTGAAACACACGCATTAAAGACTTGGATGTTTCTGTTGCGGTGACGGGCTACTTTCGTTTTTGTTCGCTGCAGAAATGCTGATATAAAAGTTCTAGATAAATAATAAGAGCTCGAAAGTATGACAAATGCATTTAGTTTTAACTCAGAAATCAATCATAATGATCGCTGCTCAAATAAAATTATAATGAGTATTAAATCAAACTGTAGTAGTTTCTCCAATTGCGGGTCACGCAATCTCGTGGCATGAACATGTCAAAATTCTATGTACAAAACCAATCGACAACCATGTATTTACCTTGATTATCAAAAGTATTCTAATGGAAAATATTTTTTCTAAAAATTAAAATCGAGTTAACCCTTCACATGCTTCAATGCATTTTTTAAATAAATTAATTTAATTGTACTATTTTTAATCCTAATACATTTTTTTTTAATTCTGCATACTGCAATTTGTTTTGTTGTAATTGTTTTAAAAATAATTTAAACATATTTTTGTGGTTGTTTTACTTTTTTTCCAAACTGGATGAATTGTTTTAAGTTTCAACATCATAAAAATCGTGTTCCGAAACGTTCCATGAATAGTACACGACCGTGAAGTCACATGACCCGGAAATGGAGAAAATGATTCGTAACTGGGGAAGCTAGGCCTTGCTGAAATACCCCAGTATATATTGTTCCCGTGTAGCTACTTTGAAAACGAAAAAGTGGTTGGATGACTCACTATTTGTTCTTTCAATACATATATTGCATGAAATTTAAATTGAACAAATTTGCAAAATATCAACGAAACACACTTACGTGACCCGGAATTGGCGACTTCACTGTATATAAGTAGAAATATACAAGTCATTTGGACCATACTCAGTCTGATTTGCAGATTAGTGCAGCTAGTATATGAAGATGTCATTGGGGAAAAGTTATTTAAATTAATGATATATAAATTATTCCTCAAATGAAAAAAGCAGCAAAACTGAACAAATATTTTTTCATATCATTGGCGTCGGAAGCAAATTGAAAGTGGGGGGGCTAAGTGTAAAAAAAAAAAAAATTTACCTTCCAAAAAAAGGAAATGTCCATTTCCCAGATGCGAAAGTCCTATTTCGTGGGGGGAGGGGGGGTCGAACTTTAGTACCTAAGTTTTTCTCCAAACACCAAAACTTTACCCATTTTTAGCCTATCCTGCGAGGTGTCTGTGGAAAGTGGGGGGGGGGGCTAAACCTACAAAACAAGGTTCTATGTCTATAGTAAGTATATATTTGGAAAAAAAGTGGGGGGGGGGGGGCTAAGCCCGCCCAAGCCCCCCCGGTTCCGACGCCTATGCATATTGAAAAATAATAATGAATGTATGTGTAGCCACCACTTAATATCTCTAAGGTTAGTATTATTATTTTTTTCGTTGAGGACCTATATTATAATGGTACAGGCAAAGCTTATTATTTCTAACATGATGGAACTAATTTTTAATTTGATAAATCTGATAGAAATCGACACATTGAGGTTAAAATGTGTCAAGAAAAAAATGGGAAAAAACTTTTCAAGGAAATATGAATTTTAAGATAACAAACAGTAATCAAATTCAAAAGTCCATTGAAAATGAAAAATTCAAGCAGAGCAAACAGGGACCTCTAAAAACATCAGAGGTGGGATCAGGTGCCACAGAGGAGTAAGCATCCCCTTCCGAATGACGTTCAAGATATTGAAGCAAAACTATATTCTTTTAAGACCTCAGTGATAAAACTTTTTGGGATGCACTTTCAGTAAATAAATACCATTCAGTTAAAACACTGACACCCTTCAATAAATATTAATATTATTTAATAGCTAGACTTAATTAAAAGAATTTCCTTTGAACTTTTTTATAAAATTTATTGTTACTCTGTTTACCATGTTTACAGAATGCCTTGTTTCACTAAAAAGAACATTGCTCAGATATTTTCTCTGGACTACCAATTTCTGTACTTCATGTGATGCCGTGTTGGAGCCCTCCCAAGAACCTCCCTTGTAGGTGTTCTATAATAAGGTATGAGATGTGTTTTATATCACAATGAAATGATTCTGTAAATTTAATATAAGGGTTTAACACAGTATAATTGTTATATCATAGTGAGCTGAATTCAGATGTTCTTCTATGTCTACATAATGAAAGAATGTACAATTTTTATGATGAGAAATGTATATGCAGTTGGATGAAAAGAAAGATGTTGTTTAAATGAATGTTGTATATATAATGTTGTGTCCATCAAATTGTCTCAAGCCATGGTCAGAGTCTGCCTACAGCTCTCTCAGGGAACTAACTTTGTTTCAGCATCGATGCTGATTTAAATGCTTTCTTTGCTTGCTGATGCTGATGGCAATGCTTAGCAGCTAACTGTTTTTGAAAATGCTTATCCTGATGCTAGCTGGTTGCTGAATCAAAGCTGATTCTATATTCACTGATGCAGATGCTGATTTATGAAACAAAATTAGTTCCTTGTACTGTACCCATGGCTGCTTGGACATATAAAGTAATCATCAATCCTTATGTAGGCCTATAACATCATGTTATAAAATAAATCAATGTACATGTATATTGCATGGGCCTTAACAGTAAACAACAAATGTTAGGTAAACAGTCTGTATGAAGACATTAAGGTCACATAAGAGGTTATTTTTAAGTAATAAAAGTCTTCAATCTCTTTTGGGAGGGACTGTTTCTGATCATATCTTGTAGCTTATTAACACAGGTCATTATATCAGGTTTTTAAAATTCTGCAATCAAATCCTACCTTGTAATTTAACCTTAAGATTTTGTACTGAAACTTGTTTGCCTCATTTAAGAACATGATCTTATATGCTTGTCTCGATCATTCACTTCCCAAAGAAGGATGACATGACCACCAGCTGAGTTTACCTTGATCTTATTTATGGTTGACCTCTTTGTATAAAATTATAATCATTTATCTCTAGTATATGGATTAAACTACTGTGATCTACACAATTGTAAATTAAAATGAGAAACAAATGTATATTCAATGCAACAAACAGTTTTGGCCAATATTTACAATGTTACCATAATTGCTGAGGGGTGTGTAATCTTTGGCCCTGAAATTTACTTGTCTATCTTTTAATGCTTTTTTCTTAGTCACCACTGTCATGATGTAAAGATTTATCATTCAATTCAATTTTCTTCTTTGATAGTGATACTGTATTGTTTTTTTAATGTTATGTTATATTATTTTACAGATTTCAAATTAAAAGAGGAAATGGTTCTAATGACAGAGGCTTTGTCCATGTTGGTTTGTCTCAATCTTTTGGAAAACAGTGTTGCAGAAAATATCAGCAACATATGAAGACTCTGATTTAGTTTATTACAATGTGACTTGAAAGTTATATCTGATTTCATGGTAGTATTTACACATGTGTTGAACGTTCCGAACATCATTGAAAAAGATTATATGATGACAATAAACAAAAATACATATATGAACTTTCCACAAGTTTCCAATGAAGAACATTTTGGGATCTTGGTAAAGGATATTGTAATTAAAATTTTTACCTGATTTATATGTGTTCTTGTTCAGTGCATCAAATGCACAAAATGTTTTTAATTCAGACTTTTGAAACCAGTGCTTAGAACACAGGTCCCAGATATCCTCATACTGCAGTTATATTGTTAAGATTGAAGTTTATTTTTAAAATTATACCTTAACTATATCTGTAAAGAAACTTTTTAAAAAATTAGTCAAACTTGTATATATGCTGGTTAACATGTTAAAAGAAAAATAATATTCTGGAAGTGATAAAGAATTTTAAGAAGTTCATTTATCATCCTTTTGTTTTGTTCTTCTTTGTGACTTTTTTTTTTACAATAATCAAAGACATTTTAATATCTTATGTCATCTTAGCAAAAGGCTCTATGGAGCTTTTCTATCAAAGGGTCTCTGGTGTCTGTTAACTCTGTTCATCTGTCATCAATGAGAATTAAACCCTAAAGCAGCGTATCAAAGTCTTGCATGGGAATGTGTAGTAAAAAATGGTGTTTTAACGAGCAAAATCTGAAGAACACAAATATGACTCAAGTAAACATTGTGGACCAAGTGTCATTTAAATTGCACACTTTCATTACCCTACAGATTGTTAATCTCTTATTTAGCATATTTTTTAAGGAGAAAATTAATTGTCTAACATTATTTTCCCTGTTTTGTATACACCATAGAGTAATCCTTTAGATAAATTTGGGCTTTCATATAAAGTGCTATTTATAGAACAACAGTGAGTCTCTTTAATTCTATTTTTAACACATTGCCATGTGGTTGGCACTACTTTCATGGCTAACATTTTCTTGATGAACTGACAAGTATGCATTTAAAGAATTGTACCTGTTGCAGTCAGTTTTCATGTAAACGAATGGTTCTTCACAAATAGTTGTAGCCATTTTGTTTATTTAACTATTTCATTTTTTTTTTGGATTTTTTAATGCACTGCTAAAACCTGTGGCTGCGCAGTCCTACAGGTGTATTGTGCACTTCATAGCTGCAAGCTACTGCAAGTGTCAATGTAGCTCCATATACCCAAAGATGGTTTTCATTATAAAGATGAAATGGACCAGTTTTCAAGTGTTGGCAAGTCTTATTTTTAAAGATATTAAGGTTTTTATTTTCAGTGAGTCTCACTTGGTTGCACACAATAGCAAACCCTTAATGAATTGATATTCAATTATGTATATTCCTTTTCAGTCAAAATTATATACTCATTCAAATCATATTATTTCTTGAAATGGAGAAAAAAGCAACTTAACAAGAGAAAATTGTATAGCTCTTTCATTGTAAAATTACATGCATAACTAAAAAGAATGTAAATATTGTTGAAAACAGAAAGCATTCTGAGCAGCTTTATGTTATTCAGGTGAACGTCCAAGACTGAAGAAGGGAGCAGTGCCTTCCATTTTCCCTTTTGCCCTTTCATTAACAAATGATGAGAGTCCAAGGTGTCAGAGGAAAAGGAAACGAGAAGAAGCTTCAAATGAGCAACACGATTGTACGGAGGTTCTGAATACGATAGAAGTGGTCGATACCCCTGAGATTCAAACCTCTTTTACATCTGAGGCAATGGATGAAGGTATACCTGTGCAGGTGAATCAGGGAGTACAGTGTGAGCTGAAAACGTTTGGTAAATTTTCTGTTCAAAACTTTGAAAATGATCCCAAAATGATCAAGTATTACACTGGTTTTTGCGATTTTATGAAGTTCATGTTTTTTTTTCAATTGTCTTGGACCTTGTGTTTTTTAGCTTTTTCGACACACCACTCTTATGGATCCTAAAGATCAGCTTTTTATGGTTCTGATGAAGCTCCGACAGGCCAAAGAAGATATTGAGTTAGCTCTTTTTTTCGGCATTTCTGAGTCCTCCGTATCTCGTATCTTCAACACATGGTTAAATTTTATATATTTTCAACTTAAAGAATTAAGCATATGGCCATCAAGAGATGTGATTCAACAGTTCATGCCTTCTGATTTTGGAAAGAAATTTCCTAACACGCGAGTCATTCTTGATGCTACAGAACTTCCGATTAACAAGCCATCAAATGTGAATGCCCAGAGTATAACATGGTCTGCATACAAACATAAAATACATTGAAAACCATGATAGGTTGTACTCCAAGAGGTGCGGTAAGTTTCATATCCAAAGCATATGGAGGATCAGCAAGTGATCGACAGATAATTGAAAATTCTGACCTTCTGACTCTAGACCTGAAAATGTTTGAAAAGGGAGATAGTATTATGGCTGATCGTGGCATAATGGTGCAAGACCTGTTTGCTTCACAAGACGTGTACGTTAACACCCCAACAATGTTGAAAGGGAAGTCACAACTGGATCCTGAGGAAGTTATCCGTGATAGACGAGTGGCATCAAAGCGAATTCACATCGAGCGTGTAATAAGGCTAAGCAAGGGCTTCAAATTATTGAGGCACCCTCTACCTCAAAGCAAATTGCACCTTGGTTCTAGAATTGTTTATGTTTGCTTTGCAATATCCAATTTCAGGAAATCAATTGTTGATAAAAATGCTTAATTCTGTGCAGTTTTCTATTTGACTGTCAAGCTTAAGTGAGTTGAAGAATAACAAAACAGTTGTTTTAGTGTCATCCTAAATTTAATTTAACATGGCATGTAAGAATACACTCATATACTTATTTATCAAAACTTTCTTTACTTATAAACACTCCTATGAATGTATTTGTAACCTTTCATCTTTCAGAGTTTAGCAGATTATCATACTACAGCAAATTAAATACTACATGTGTAATGTAAGAACCATTGGTATCTGTGGTGAAACTAACATGACTATAATTAGACTGTGGATCAGGTAAGTTTATCAACAAGAGGCCCATGGGCCACATTGCTCACTTGATCAAATCAGTATGTAAAAGTTTTCAGATATGAGGTCTCAATCTATTAAGGGGGAGGGGGCATGATTTGGACAATTATAAATTTACAATAAATAAGGATGCTTCAATAATATTTCTTCGACTATTAAAGGCTTTGAAAGATAATAAAAGATTATATCCCTATAAGTTTTATCTTAATTAATTAAAACAATAATAATTTAAATGCCAGGTGGTTCTTCAGAAGAGGTCGAGAATGTGAATAATTTACAGACTTACGGACAGACAGACGGATGCCAGACAAAATATCAGAAAAGCTCTCACTGGGTTTTAAGCTCAGGCGAGCCAATAGAATTTACAATCATAGATTATATTACAATTTACCAGGTACTTCTATATTGAAAAGTTTATCATGATGTTATCAAAACATGTAATGATATTCTTATTGATGCATAATACTTCAAAGAGTAGAGGCAATAAAAGGTCTGAAAAACTTGGTGTAGAATGTTTCTAGCTTTGGAATGAGTGACCCAGTACAATATTCTTCATCATACTTGATTTTCTCAACAAACAAATCTTTGAAAGTGTATACAACAAAGTAACAAACTTTTTTTTGACATATGTGAAGTTTCCCTTGCACTTGATAATAGTAATTGCTTGTTCTTTTTAAGATGATTTCATTTGTTTCATTATACTCCAAAAATCTAAAATGCTTGCCTGGAAGAATCTTTTCATTTCTTCCTGAATATGGACATTTAATTTCAACAAGACAATCATCATACAATAAAGCATCAGGTGTAGCACCTAGAAAAGGTTTAGATGCACAAATGCAGAAACCAACAGATCTTGCTTTGCAGTCATATTTTAACTCAAATGACTTCAATGCCTTTGACTCGTAATTTTTACCGTGTGCCAAAGCACTGTTTTGTAGAGAGTTGTTTACAGACAACAGATTTTGACAAAGTTTGGTGATATTTCTTCTTGAAGTCAACTTGCAGAGTTCTCCAAATCTTGAAGCTGTAAGACGCCAGGATCTATGATGAAACCATAGTTTGCATGATGCTTGTTGTCTTGTTTCTTTTTCAATCTTTGTTATGTCTTCTTCAGTCACCTATTGATTTAAAAAAAAAGCATTACCAATAAATGGATTTTCGATGTACCTTGAAATTTATTTTTCCATCTATGCATATTTATTTCTTTTATCCAATTAAATTTCCATTTTAATATCTACTACACAATAAGTTAATGGAAAGATTTTAACAGAAAATCAAATTTTAAGCCACATTTTACATTGCATTCTTACTGATAAAGATAAAAGATATACATGTGTCACAGGTGGTGAAAAATCAAGTCTCAACCGGGACTCGAACCCAGGCCCTCTGGCGTACCGTGCCAGCTCTCTAACCACTGAGCTATTGAGACCCGATGTATTGACTGACTTTCACGCACCTGTGAACCCGGTGACACTTTTAATTAGTGTGGTTACAAACCTTGTTTGCTTCATCCACCCAGTACTCTGTAATAGGTATACTAGTATTATGATGATCAACAGCAGCAACCTGAAATAAAAAAAACAAAAACATGTATATGGGTTATAGAATAAATCTGATTTTATGAGGTGAATACTTGAGAAGATGAATAAATTTTAGAGGTTTATGTGTGTAAATACATTGCAGTATAAAAATAATGCAATATAAAATGGCACCTGTATATCGGCCTTTTTAAAGAGATATCTGAGTGCAATATCTTGTGACGTCATAGAGCAGTAATTGATAAGCTGACTCCGAACATAATCTTGGTAACCTGGCATTTTTCTGAATTTTGCTGGCCGTTGATCCTCCAAAGATTCGTCAGACAGTTTTCTCTTTGATGGAATACTTTCTGCCTCCACTGGGACACCTAATTTTAAAAATCACCATTTCGAAATATAACTTACATGCATTTCCACTTCATTAACTATACTCGCTACAAAAGCTTACTAATAAGAACATGTCAAAATTATTTTTGAATTTGATATAATGTATTGTTGAATTTCTTGCAACTAATTTTATTTCTTAACACAAATTTTGGAATTCATTTTAATGAAATTTTGAAAATGTTCATTTTTTTTTGGCCAATTGCTCTTACCATGGTAAGTTGCCTTTGGTTTGTGGAAAAGCTGCAGATTTTCAGTA